GTAAATTATTAAAATGTGTAATTAAGTATATATAGTATTAACTGGCTTCATGTTGACATAAATTCCGAGTTTTGTTAAACTACATTTTCAACAATGAGTCATAAAAGTGCAAAATGGCTGGACTTATGACCAAAACATTGTAAGACTAGTTGCCTCATATTTAAAAATTAGATCAAATGCTTATAATAACGTTTATCATCAAAGTCGACAGGATTATATCTTCATGAGGCCGCCTGAGGTATATTCTACTTATTCAAACAATTTAAAACCACTGAACTTTTAATGCTGTGAAATCGTAAAACAGAAGAGTCCATTTTACTTACGATGAAGGTTTGAGGAGGTCCTCCGTTGAAAGCCTGTTGCCAACCGACGGTAAGAGATGAGGAAGTGGCCTTCATCAAAACAGGGTTACCGGGTCGATCGGGAGATGTGGTTGGGCCCAGGATCACCTTCCCAACATCCATCCCTATGTCGTTTTTCGCCTGTGGCCCAAATTGAGTTTTGGTATTCCGAACCAATGTAAATGAGTTTCAACACTTGACAAATACCTCTTTACAAAAGCCATTCTTTAAGATGAATTGGTTGCAACTTATAATGTGACCGACAGCTCTAACTCAATGGTTCTACCTTTGTGCTTGCATTTTCTCGTCAAGCAAAGTACACTCACCTATCTTTTTCGATGATCCTTTTGCCAACCATATGGTGCACGTACAAAGTGAAGTTAAAATTTGTCTGAAACTATAATCTGTTCAGCAAAGTATTACCCGGTTCTATTTTGTTGCAGCCCGGAAACATAAGGAGGGAACAATAAGCAAGTAGGAATGAGATTCCCACTTTAAAACGATCACTTCAATGCGCTTAGAAATGTTGAGTTTTCGGAGCCCTCCTTTCGAATAATGAGGCATCAAATGAAGGATGGAACGACGATTTTATGTACCAAGTATAAAATTGAGGGGAGAGGATGGAAGAAGGCAGAAAAGGGAGGTAAATGACAGATGCAAAGATTTTTTCCTGTTGATAGAGCAGGGCGCCTACACTTTATAACCGAACCCTTGCCAGCATCAGCGCGTAGTCGCTTATATTTCTTAAGCTCACACTAAACTCAGACTGGTTCAATCTTTGAAGTTGCAACGAGTGGCATTTTTTATGCATGGGTTGACCATGGAGGGATTTAGACTTTTTCGTTTCTGCATCACTAACATGCAGACCATCAAAAAGCTGCACACACCTCTTATGTTTCAGCAGATACCGCAAAAATTTTACTAGAAGAATTCATGAAGACTTAAGTAACCTTCAAATTTCTCCGATTCGATGCTTACAGATGGGATGCAATGCAATTTCATATTACTCTTGAGTGCAAAGGGTTCCGAAGTTATGCAACTTGTTGTAGGAACATGAATGTTAAATATGAGCTTTTACATTATCGCCCCAACTTAAATTAAAGTAAATGCATAGCAATAGATTTGTTTGTGAGGTATGAGCTAATGCTTTCTTCATGCACCCTATTTTAATATCGTTTGCATTTATTATGCGCATTCTCACATTCTGTTCACAACTCTCTCTGACGACCTAGGAATGATTTGAAAAAGGTGTCATAGCAATTAGAGCGTACGAATTTTGCGTACCGAGAGAGGTAGAGAGTAACGAGGTTAAAACACTCACCTGGCAATAGTAACTGCCAAAATCAACTTGTCGGACGAACTCAATAGTAAGGAGAGCCCGGTAGCGACCGGCATGGAGACGAGTGATGGAGGACTTGAATTGCCCACCTTCAACAAGAGTTAGGTTGGCTGGTTCGCGAAACCACACAACAGTGGGCGCAGGCTCCGCAGCGACAATACAGACCACCGCGGTGGGAGGCATTGGATCAAGTGGCATTAAATGGGTGTGATTAAAAGCTGTCTCAGGCGGGTCGTGAGGCGGTGCGGCCCGTGACCACCGCCCTATCTCCAACACTCTTGGGGCAACTAGCGCCAGAGAAAGACGAGATTAATAAATTAAATATTGGGATGTTTAGCTTCTTGCGGCTCAGGAAAAACATGAACTGGACATAAGAAGCTACATGTCTAATTTAATAGCAAAATTAAACTATGAAAAACAGACTTTACTTATCGAGTTTCACAACACAATTGGTAAATCAAATAAACTCTTTGGCACATAAGAGGTCCGAAATTAGATCGTCAAATTCACTCATAAATTAAATCAGCTTCAAAAATGGAGATGTACCGGATCGACGAAACTCAGAGTTACATTTTGTGATCATTGTGTTGGTCACCAAAATTAAGAGTGACTTGGTTTGGAGGTGTCCTCATCAGCAAAACTATTATTCAAAGTTCTTGCCCTAATGGGTCAGTAAGCGATGGATCATTAAGTGCTGTGATCTACTCAAATTCATTGAGCTGAATATACTTGACATTGAAACAATAATCAGTTAGGTCAGTTAAGATAATCATAGGAAGGGAAATCAAAACCATTTAAGGCTAATAAGTAGTTAACGGTAAGTCCACATGTAGAGATGAAAAGTGAGTTGAAGGCGAAAGTTACGTCAATTCACCGAAATGGACAGTTGGTGCCTTTATTAGTCCTAGTAATCATAGTTACATAAACAAATCTGCCGTTGTGACTCCTATCAATAAGCGAAAATTGGTTCCACAAAGCATGTCCGTACATGCGTGTCCTTTGGGGACTAACAACGATCAGTCTTCCAGCGCTACACCTCTTGATTTATTTTTGCAATGTCTCCGTGAGAAAAAACCACGAGCTTAAAGCTAAATCAGAGTCGCTTTTAAACTCTCTCAATAATGATAAACTAGTGGAGGTTGGTCCAAGACGAAAGGCGCAAAAGGATTGAAACGTGCTTTAACTTACAGGGATAAATGAGATCAATTAACCGCACTACAGGAGAACCGATGCCATTGTCAACGAAACACTCATATCTTCCAACGTCACTCGGGTCAACATCCCTTATGTGAAGGGTGCTTACAAGATGGTACGGTTCCGGTGTGAAGCACTTTACGTAGTACTTGACTTTTCCAGCTGCAAATTTCTAAAGCAAAAAATTGGCATCGCAAATTCGAAATTGTTTAAAGCAGATTTAAATTCAAATCCTACTGGGTGAGCCAAAGCAAAACAACCTCCACATTTCCATGACTTTATCATAAGCTTTACTTGAGCTACGTTGCAGCTACTTGATTGTCAAAAAGATAATGCGACAATTGTAACTACTGCAACTCACTTGGTTGCATCGGAGCCCAGCTATCGATGGTTTA